ATGAAGTTAAAACGCTCAATGAAGACTCTTGGAAAACCTTAAAGACTTGCTTTGACTTACTTACTTCTAAGCTTGACTTCACTTGACTTGGAAACTAACTTCACTTGAATTGGAAACTAACTTCACTTGACTTGGAAACTAACTTCACTTGACTTGTAGTTTTACTTGACTTTTGGAAGTACCTTGGAGTGTTGGAAACAACTAGGAAACATAGGTATAATACCTAGGAACATGTATAAAAAAAGAAATGGTGAATGAAAGGGAAGGATTGGTGTCCTTGGCACTAGGAGAGGTGCAACAGCCCAACCCCTTTTTCCCCAAAAATCCGACTTTTTCCCCTTGTTTCTTTCCAATTCTAAACCCTCTCAACCTCAAGGTTTCAGCAGCAACACTTAGAATCATAAAGACCCTTATTATACAATAGATTCAACTCAAAAATCACAGCCAGAAATCTGTACTAAATCAGCAAGAACTTCAACACAACACCACTACAACTTCAACAACCAATAAATCTTCTCTTGGAATTAAAAACGAGTTGGTGTGTGGGGGTATGAACCAACCAACACTAAGGATCATAAAATCCCTCAATATACAATAGGTCACAACTCAAATACACAGCCCAATCCTGTCCCACAACCAACAATAACTTCAACAACACAACTAACAACATCAACAACAACTAACAACTTCAACAACTTCAACAACAAATCCAATCTCTTCTCAAATCATAAAAACGAGCTTGGTATGTGGGGGGAAAGGATAAACCCACACTAAAGACTCACATACCTTGATAGAGATCACCCCCGACGAAAATCCACAATGATCTTGACAAATCTTGTTGATCTCCTCTTTCTTCTCTTCTTCTTCTCCTTCTTCTCTTCTTCTTCTCTTGAACCCTAACTCTTTCTCTTTCAAAATGGGACAAAATGATCCAAATATCAGCCTAATACAACAATATAAGATCAAAAGAAATTATTTGTGAAAAGACCAAAATGCCCTTAAATTTTCGGAACGGAATCCCTGCCAACTGCCCAACTTTCAAAGATCATAACTCGCTCATACGAACTCGGAATCGAGCAAACTCAGTGGCGTTGGAAAGATCGTTCCACAAGCTTCGAAACCATAACTGGAACTACTCCTAAATCATCCTGAGCTAGGAGTTATGACTGCTCAAAGTTGGCCAAAAACTCACTGATTTCCACACTTGGCCAAATTTTCCAGATTTTAAATTTTTCCAAAAATGACTATTTCCAAATTTCAAGCTTCTTCATATTCATTTTTAAATTGTCGGATGTTACAAGTAGGAGATAAATTGATAACATATGCAACAGTATTAAGTGCTTCTGCCCAAAAGGAATATGGCAGCTTAGCATATGAAAGCATACATCTAACTCTCTCAACAAGAGTTCTATTCATCCTCTCCGCCAAACCATTTAGTTGAGGAGTTTTTGGAGGAGTTTTCTGATGCCGAATACCCTGCTCTCTGCAATATCTATCAAAGGGGCCAATATACTCACCACCATTATCAGAACGAATGCATTTCAATTTCTTCCCTGTTTGTCTCTCAACCAAAGCCTGAAAACTCTTAAACACATCAAGTACCTGATCCTTGGACTTCAAAGAGAATACCCAGAGTTTGCGTGAATAATCATCAATAAAAGTCACAAAATATAGTGCACCACCATGAGACCTTACCTTAAAAGGACCACACAAATCAGAATGTACCAACTCCATCAAATCAAGCTTTCTTGAAGGCGGATGACTCTGAAAAGAAACTCTCTTCTGTTTACCTGCTAAGCAATGAACACACTTGTTCAACTTTGCTTGTTTTACTCCAGAAAACAAATTTTTCTTAGCCAAATTGTTCATCCCCTTCTCGCTCATATGACTCAGTCTTCTATGCCATAACAATGATGAAGTATCATTCTCCACCAAATTTACTGAGCCTCTAAAAATGGAGCCTTGAAAAACATACAAGTTAGACAACTTATCACCACGGGCTACAATCATCGAGCCTTTAGTAAGCTTCCACTGGCCAGCACCCAGGGTATTAACATAACCCTCATCATCAAGGTATCCCACAGAAATCAAATTCAAGCGAACATCTGGAGCATGTTTGACATTATTGAGAACTAGTTTGGAACCATTGTTACTTTCCAAACAAATTGTCCCAATACCAAGAACTGCAACCTCATGATTATTACCCATTTTCAACTTCCCAAAATTACCTGGAGTATAAGAAGAAAATAATTCCTTCTTGGGCGTGACATGAGAAGTAGCACCAGAATCCACAAACCAGGTAGACTCATCACGAACAAGATTGACAACATTTTCATCACAAGAAACAAGAAGATCATCATTAGCAACAACAACAACACGATTTTCATTGTCACCTTCTTTCTTTTGTTGTCTCATATCTCTCTTGTACTTAAAACAAAATTTCTTGATATGCCCATTCTTGTGGCAATAGTCACATGTAACATTCTTGTATTTAGACTTTGACTTACCTCTACTTTTATCTCTGTCATTCTAACCTCTGAACTTGTTTCTCCCCCTATCTTCAGTAACCAAAACATCAGAGTGTGAAGTAGAAGAAGTTGAGCGTTGAGATCTTCTTCTCATCTCTTCATTCAAGACACCACTCTTAGCATATTCCATGGTCACAACACCACTGGGAGCAGAATTAGTCAAAGAAACTCAAAGAGTTTCAAAATAGTCTGGCAGAGTATTAAGAAGTCATAGTCCCTGTATTTCTTCATCGAATTTTACATTCATTCCAGATAGCTGGTCAAGAACACCCTGAAAATCATTAATATGGTCAGAAATAGGAGTGCCCTCTTTATACCTGATATTCATCAATTGTTTCAATAGAAACAACTTATTGTTGCCAGTCTTTGAAGCATAAAGCGTCTCGAGCTTGTCCCACAAACTTCTGGCATGTGTCTCATTCACAATGTGATTTCGAACATTATCTTTAACCCATTGTCTAATATAACCACAAACCTGCAAGTGCTCAAATTCCCATTCCTCATCCGTCATGGATTGGGGTTTATTAGAGGTAAACACAGGTAAATGCATTTTCTTGACAAATAGGAGATCTTTCATCTTGCCTCTCCAAATATGATAGTTACTACCATTCAAACAAACCATCTTGCTCATATTTGCCTCCATAATTCAAATCAATAATGAACAACAACCAATGCTCTGATACCACTTTGTTGGGAAAGTCAAGACACTAACAAGAATGTCAGACAGGATAGCAGCGGAATAATACCCAAATCTAAACTTTCCCTTTCAATTTGAACCAAGAAAAGACAAACCAAATCAAGCAATATGAAGAATGGACAGCAAGTATATCAATCAAACTAAAGCAACAAGATAAGAATAACCCAATCACACAAGACACAACGATTTACGTGGAAAACCCTTCGATGTGAAGAGTAAAAAATCACAGGACCAAAAGCTCCACTATAAACACCAAGAGTTACAAAATTGTTCTCCAAAATTGGCCACAAAACAAGTGCCAAACAACGAGCAACAACAAATCAAGATTGCACCAAAACTAGAGAATTAAAGAAGAGATTTCACCCAAAACGCGCTACTGTTCACGCCCCAAAATCAGAAGCTACAGACCTCTAAATCCGATCTCCACCGTTGAATTGCAAGAACCAGATGCTGAGAACTCCCAGTTAAAATTTGAGCACGACCCAACGGTTAACGAAGCAGCAAACTCTGTTTGAAGCGGACTGCCTGAACAGAAAATTTCCAGAAGCAAAAACGGGATTTTTTTCTCTTTTTCTCTCAATTTCTAAAACGAAACTCTCTTGATTTTTCTCTCTTGTGTTTCTGAAAATAAGACCAAATAAGCCTTATATATGCCACATAATATTTTAGGTTATGGGCTAAAGTGGGCTAGTCCTAATAAGACTTTTATTTATCCACATAGGAAGGGAAAAAAGATCCTAAACCCAACAAGCTCTTGGCCATGCTTTATGCATCTCATTCTTGAGTGGAAACTTTGTACTCATGATCAGTTTTATTGTTAGGAGAAGTTTGAAAGGCAACAGTCATATCGTCACATAAATGTTATGACATGTTTATGATAAATTAAAAAAGTCTTATAACTACAAGATACTATATACTAGTAGTATTTTAAGATCACAAACTTCAAATATCTTTGTTTTCTTCTTAAATTTCACGTCATTCAAATTATGTCATATATATTAGAACGCAATGAGTATAACTTTCATAATGTATACCAAATTTAGACATCCATGTACAAGTATGAAACAAAAGAGGATGAAACACCACAACCAAATATACTCAATGCACTTAACACAACTATACAAGTTATCAATATTTGTGTCCTTCAATATTCAATTTACAACTAAAGTACCTCGAGATTTACGTGACAACTTTGCCCTGGATGTCTTAGTATTTGTACTTTGTTCCTGGCTATGGTTATTAGATATTTTTTCTTTTGTAAATACAAGTTTGTTTACCAGAAAACTGTTATTGTAGGCCATTTCTAGCTCATTTTGTGGTGAGCATTCACAGGGACTGTCGAATTCGTTGTAATATCCAGAAAAAATAAAGAAGAAACAGTCTCTCTTTTCTTCTCCAAAATATGCACGAGATTGTTTTGTCTGGAAAGAAAGGTATGTTTGAGTTTGGCATACATAATAAAAATTATACTCATCGCGCTTTAATTTATGTGACATAATTTGAAGACATGAACTTTAAGAAGAAAACAAAGATTTTTGAAGTTTAAGGTCTTAAAGTACTACTAGTATAGTAACTTCTAGTTTTGTAGTTATATGACTTTTTAAATTTATCATAAACATGTCATAACATTTTTGTGACAATAAGATTGTTAGATGCATAAAGTATAAGCATGGCCAAGAGCTGACTTTATTTAATAACAATAGTAGTAGAATTTTTTTTCCATAAATGATGACATTATCCATTTATGATAGTACAAAGTTTGCCAACTTGACTTATTAAAGAACTGGATTATGCTGAAAGAAATTAGTAGGCTTGAGCTCAAAACTAGTGCTTAATGTTGGCATAATTGGAAAATCTTCTTGTTTGGGTACATGATGAACACCAAATGTGTACCATAATACAATATCCTTGTTCTTGATTTCCCTATCCCTGCATTATCATAAAAGAAATACTCCGGGGAAAGTTAAAATTAAAAAGTTGTCAGAATAGGAAAGAGACGTTCTTTTTAAAATAGACTAAAAAAGAAAGTAAGACAAACGACTTGAAACAAGAGCGTACTATATAGAATCTATTGCGCGTATTACCTGAGGCTCCATATGGCTAATGTATCATCCCCATGGCTTTGATCAGTATATAATCCTCCTGCCCATTTCTCAGACTTGTTATAAGGTGTTACCCACACATTGTACTTGGTAAAACCTCCGCGGATTTGTGGGTAATCATTGTCACTTAACAATGGACTTGTTGCAGATCCACCCGGGATCAAACAGTAGCCTATTTCATTCCCAACCTCAGTCTTCTTGTTGGGGTTCACCACTATCATTTAGACATTATGTTGTCTAATCTTGGCTTCTAGCTTGTTGATTTGTATAATAACATGTGTATCTTAGTTTATATTCATTTGATGATATTCTTTTCAAGTGATAGTGGTCTAATAGAGTCGTGCTTATCAAAGGAAAAGTCTTCAATCAGCTTCTTCTGTTACCATCACATAGCTACAAACTACTCGTGATTCTACTGTAAACGAAAGAGCCCTTGCAGGTTGTACCATTGCTTGCAATGATGGTGCCAAAGAAGTATTTGATGGATGCATCATGGCTGCAGATGGTCCAAGTACTCTGAAAATGTTAGGCAAAGAGGCAACATGCGATGAAACAAGAATACTGAGTGCTTTCCAGTATGTCGATAGGTACTTTCGTCTCCTTTATTTGAATACCTTGGCTTTCGTTCCTCTTTAATCTACTTTTATCTTTTTGGATTTTTATCCATATACTGACGTCACTTATGTTGTTTATCTTCCTCTTTAATTTACTTTTATATTTGTATTCTCTGTTAGTGGTGTGGTGAAGTGCAAATTAAATGAATGTTTAAATGGTGGCTGGTTTTAGTCAATTAACAGATACAACCAGCTGCCAGATTTCTGAGCTAATATGAAAACTGTACTGGAGGCCAAGATTAATATACTTGGTCATTTCATCTTATAGAATTCTACCCACGAGCACGACTTATCTTGCTGAATGGTTGAAAAGAAGGGAGTTGGTGGATTATACCATAGTCTTAACAAGATTTGTGATGTTAAAAGGCAAACTCATTTTCTCTTCCTGTGTGACAGTGATGTTTTCCTTCATTGTGACAAAACATTCCTGCCTCACAACCTGACAACATGGAGTGCTTGTAACTTTCTTGGAACCATGAATAGTAGAGGATGTGTGACATATTGGCTCAATATAATCCAGGTGTGTTATCCAGTGATTTTTAGGACATTCTATAGAAACTAGAAGATAATGCTCTTCGGTGGAGAGTCTTTTCTCTTGTAACTGCTCTCTTAATTTATGAGCTGTCTAAATTTACAGAATCTTGGTGACTCAAAGCTGCCTTATCTAGTAACTGTTGATCCTCCTCACTCACCAGAGCATACGTTGCTTAAGTGGACAGCGCGCTACCCAGTCCCCTCAGTTGCTGCATCAAAAGCTTCATGTGAGCTACATCAAATCCAAGGGAAGAGAGGAATATGGTTTTGTGGAGAATATCAAGGTATGGATCTCTTTTTATGTAGAGCTGTTTCAAGATAAATGTTCCTTTGTAACCAGCTATCGTGCGTAGTCAGCTATTAGACTTCAACTATATTGAACTTAGAGAACCAGTTCCTTTAACTGCAACTTGAAGGATTTTGCAGTTTGCACTGCTTACTATTGTCATTTAAATTATTTGCAGAACCCACAGTATGAAACAATAAAGTGTCTTTCTCTAGACTTTTTATAGTTCTCTACGTTAGTCTGGAAATTTCAGTTCATAAGTTTGAATCTGTTAAGAGATTATTCAGACTCTTTACAGATAAAATGACTACGTTTCTATTTACTCTTTTTTCAAAGAATGCTTCATTCATTTCTGACTCTTCATTCTTTCCATTTCAACTTGATGCAAGCAACTGATCACAACAGCCTAGCTAGTGTATAGGTTTATTCATTGCCTTGCTTCCACATAAGGTCAAAGGAAACCTACTAATAACACTTGTAGCTTGAGTTGTTCTAATTTTAGTCTTAGCTTTCTTTTAGTGTACAAACTTTATTTTCAGCCTTGTGTTTCACTGCTTATTTTTGTTTCAATACTTTCAGGATATGGCTTCCATGCGAATGGACTAAAGGTAGTACTACTGCTAATAAAAGCTCAACAGATATAACTTTAAGTATCACTTTACTCTGAAAACAATTGGGAATAACACCTGATGCTCAATAGATTTCCAGCTTTTGTTGTCCCTCTGGTCTCATTTGGATGATTGTCTACCTTTTGATCCTCCTCAGGCGGGTGTGGTTGCTGCAGATGGCATGCTTAGAAGGAATTCTGGTATTTTAGATAACCCCAAGCATATGGTACCAACCTGGCCTGAAACTGGAGCACGCCTCATTGTTACTAGATTTTTCAAAAGTTACATTCAAACAGGATGCATAATGTGAGTAATGATAGTAATTTATTACTCGGAGATTTTTGAGTTTCTTTTCTGATAATTAAAGATATCTGGATAGTTACTTTATATGTTTTGGTATATAGCTTGTTGGAAGAAGGAGGTACAATTTTCACCTTCCAAGGCATAGAGAGTAAATGCTCACTGAAAGTTTCTCTTAGAGTTCATAGTATGCAGTTTTACTGGAAGGTAAATTGGAATTTTAAAAAAAATTAAACCCGAAACAATAATGAAAAGTTTCTCAATTTTGACAAATTCTGTAACATACCTTACAGGTTGCAACTCAAGCTGACATAGGCCTTACTGATGCCTTTATTCATGGGGATTTCTCTTTCGTTGATAAGCACGAAGGTCTTCTTAATCTTATCATGGTGAGGAATGACTCAATATCTTTGTGAATAACTTTTGTCGGGTTCTTAGCTTCACGGTTATTATGCAGATATTTATTGCCAACAGAGATTTGAAACAATCTGTCAAGAGGTAAAATAGTTCACTGACCTGAAATCAAGAAACACAAACTTCTGTTCATATGTTAAAGTTTGTCATCACTTCGTGTAGCGCTGGAGGCTGGTGGAGACCACTTATTTTTACAGCAGCACTGTCATCTGCAAAATATTTCTTTCGACATGTTTTAAATCGAAACACCCTGACTCAAGCTCGTCGGAATATCTCTCGTCATTATGACCTGGTAATTGAAGTACTCAATCCTGGCCATATTTTTGCCAGTTGCAATTTTGTAAGATGGGCTTCCATTGAATATATGCTAAGCATTGTGGTGTTAATTGTTTTTTCCAGAGTAATGAACTCTTCTCACTCTTTCTGGATGAGACAATGACATACTCATGTGCAATATTCAAGGTCATCTCTCAAACTTTTTTCTTATGTTGAGCTAAATTTCCTGTTCTTTAAATCCAGTTTTGTTTCTTCTCTTCTTTTTTACCTAGAGTGAGGATGAAGACCTGAAAGTTGCACAGCAGAGAAAGATTTCTCTTCTCATTGAAAAGGTAAGTCATCAACTAAGTAAAAATTTATCTCCGTTTCTACAAAAAATTGATTCTGCTTCTATTCTGTTTAGGCCAAAATTAGCAAGGAACATCACATTTTAGAGATTGGATTTGGCTGGGGATGTTTTGCTGTGGAAGTTGTCAAGAACACAGGATGTAAGTATACTGGTATCACTCTCTCTGAGCAGCAACTGAAGTATGCACAGTTGAGAGTTGAGCAAGCCGGCCTTCAGGTATAGTACTTACAAGTTACAATGTCATTGGAAGCTCAAATTTTCTAGATAACTTATATGAAACTTACACTGCACAGTAATTGCTATAACCTGAGGCAAATTCCCTGCGTAGCACTTGCAATCCAAATCTGAGCAACTTTAAAGCTAGGATTATCTGTTAATATTCAATTGAAAGAAATCTTTTCACAAATCACAGGATCAAATTACATTTCTCCTATGTGATTATCGCCAAATCCCAAATAAGGACAAATATGACAGGATTATATCATGGTGAGCTTTTATCCATCTATACATCTGGACATATATATATATTGTATTACTGATCACTACATGTCAAGCCAAAGCGTGATAATTGTATTAATAATCATTTTCAGCGAGATGTTAGAGGCTGTTGGTCATGAGTTTATGGCAGAATTCTTTACTTGCTGTGAATCTGCACTGGCAGAAGATGGCCTTCTTGTCCTGCAGGTAATGAAATCTTTAAGATAACTTGCGTATATCACAAAAATCTAAGGAAGAATTTTCTTCTTCCAACATTACTTTCGTTCCACTTTGTTATAAGAATTCTTTACTTCCCTTCATTGTTCTGTTGCCCTTGTTCCAATGAGCAGCTTTTCACATACTGTTGGCTTTCCACAGTTCATTTACATACCAGACGATAGGTATGACAGTCACAGGCATAGCACAGACTTCATGAGAGAGTATATATTCCCAGGCGGAGGCTTGCCTGCACTAAGTCCAGTAACATCAGCCATGGCTGCTGCATCAAAACTATGGTAAGAAAAATTGATATTGTGATTTTGCACTAGCATGCTCGACACATTTTCAAAAACATTTATTTCTGAAAGCATTTGATAAATGATATAAAAAAATGCAGTGTAGAGCACCTGGAAAATATAGGAAGTCATTACTATCAGACACTGAGATGTTGGAGAAAAAACCTCCTGAAAAACAAGAGGTAACTAAACCAAACTAAGTCCACAACCTTCTACGTTGAGTTAAAACCGTTTCCTTCAAGAATTATTTGTAGCTTGATCAGTAGATGCTGATACTTGAGCATTGTTAACTGTGTCACTAGCCAACTTTGTGCTTTGGGATTCGATGACAAGTTCATCAGGACATGGGAGTACTACTTTGACTATTGTGCTGCTGGATTCAAAACATGCACGATAGGAGATTATCAGGTATGATGATAAATCTTTGGATGGGGCTCAGTGATACTTGTAGGTAGCAAAGAAAAAAAATAATGTCAATATTTTTGTTGGACTAAGTGGAAATGCAGGAGTAGATTGAGGTAGTTGTAAAGGGAAAAAGGTTAGATAAAAACGTAAAAGCAATATTGAATTATGTTAACACCTCGTCTAAAAGTTTCAAGTAATTAGAGATGGTACATAGTTTTACCCACTTAGGCATAATTTTGGCATGCCACTTCAAGGGTAGCAGTGAAACTCAAACTCTGTTTGTATCATGTTCAATTATGTGAACTACTTTATTTTAAAACTCAAGCCATTGAAGGGGACAAGCTTTTATTTATTAAATTATATCTTCAATAGTAAATACATGCATGCCACTTGTTCCCTTTTTATACAAGAAAACTTGAAATTATTTCACCAAATTTGAGAAGTAAAACAACTGATCAAGTGGTGCTTCTTCCCTTTGTAGATTGTATTTTCAAGGCCAGGCAATGTTGCAACATTTGGTGATCCTTACAATGTTGCTATGCCTTCAGCTTGTTAGAGTTTCGTTGTTTGGATTATATATTGTAACTTTGTCTTTGCAAATAAATCATTTCCTCGAAACAGCATGAAAGACCTAATAAAGACATATCATGTCTCATTGCTTCATACTGAATTATGTGATTAATTTCTTGTACTGTATTGTGGAAACTTTTATCAATGAACTAATAAAAGTTATTCAAGGAATTTACTGTAATTGTATTGAGATGGGTAAAGGAAAAATTTGGGCTGGTTGAAATTTGATATTTTTCAATTACCAAGGAAAGAAGCAACAATATGGTTATGGAGTGGAACAGAAGAGGCAAACCTAACTAGACTAAAAAAGATGCTATTGCAATTCCATCTTACACAGGGTTCAAAATATAAAGAAATAAACATACAAAGAAGTCAAAAGGAGTTTGTTAGAATGTATGCGTCCACTAGTGACCATGGGGCCAGGTCACAGACAGAATAATAGTGCGGAAAATAAATAGCTCAAAGTAGATCAGGCACAAGGATTTTACGTGAAAACCCCCTTGCTCAAGGGAGGTGAAAACCACGACCTGTACTCACAAGATTTCAACCCAAACTCCATTTCATTCAATTGGTGCAAAATTACAAACTCTTGCAACCTAGGAATTAAAACTCTTTAACCCCTTTCCCCCTTACTGTAGCAACTCTACTACAAAGGAAACTAAGCAATAATCCTATTGCCCACTAAACCAACTAACTCTAGTTGATCTAGACTTTAAGAACCCAAAAGTCTAACTCGAGCCACCAACTCAGATCTCAAAGATTGGAGCATAAACAAGCAACAACTCGGTTGCATCCAAACATCAACTAACTCTAGTTGACACTCCTAGGCAACTCTACCCAAGAGAACATTATGATGTAAAAAGGCTTGACTAGAACATAGATGATTTGACTAACTCTAGTTAATACGACTCAAACTAAAGACTTAGACAAGCAACCGATCTACTATCCTTTATAACTTAGGAGTAGATTTACAATATAAGCACATAAGACACAAAGCTCAAAATACAACAAAGACGCTTTAGCACTCCATCAGGTCCCTTGTTGAGTATGAGTAGTGTGCTTCCTTGAAGATGGCCTTTTCTTTGTGAGCTTATGAATTTTTCAGAAATTCAAAACTTTGTTTGCCAAATCTTAAGTTGTGTCTTTGGAGAAGAGACTATATTCAAATGGACACAAACCCTTCGGACAAGGCCAGTGGCTGAGAGCCTGCAATTCTGAAAAGTTGTGCACCAACCATGTCGGATGTGACAGTTGTCTTTTGACTTTTTCATGTACGCAATCTGTCCTCGACCAGATCTCTTGTTAGATCTGAAAGTTTGTTAAATCATCAAAACTTCAAATCAGCTTAAAATAACAGAGTTCCACATCTATTATATCTACATAAAAAAATAATTTTAATCATGAATAAACAATGTTGTATTTCATTGAATGGGGGGCCTACCTGGCCTCACCACTAACAACAACAACATATCCAATTAGTCTCAAAAAGTAGGGATTTGAAGAAGATAAAGTATACACATATTTCATCCCTACCTCATTGTTTCTGATAAGTCCTCGGCAAGAAATATGTCTAATACTAATAATGAAAATTCAAGAGTGCAGGTGTAACATTAATGAAAATAATCCAAATAGAACTGCCTCAACCTTTTTCCCACAAAAATCCAAATGGTCCTTTTTTCAATGTGCAAAAAATCATGTCCCTTTTGTGTGCAGGTGAGACTTTGTCCAAATTAATGAAAAATGTGGTCCAAAGTTTGTTAGGCAAGGATAAAAGAGGGATCTTCCACATGGAAAGTTATCATTGGTGGTCTTTTCCAAAAAAATTATCTTAAAATGTGATTCTTTTTGTGACTTTTTAATTTTCAAATAAAACCTACTAAAATGAAAAAAAATATATCAAAATTAATCCTAAAAAGAACATTTAACTTCCATTATTCACATAAATATCACATGCCTACATCCACTAATTAAGTATTCTTTTATTACTTTTTCCGTTTCTATTTATTTGTCTGGTTTAATTTGACAAAGAAAATAAAGAAGACTTTTGAATCTTGTGCACTTAAACTTAATATATGTAGAATGTATCAAAATGTCTACAGAAATTTAAAGATCTCTACAACTCCAACAATAGCCTCAAGTGATATGTAGTACCTAATTTTCTCGACACCACGACTTTCATGGTTATGCACATCTAATGAGTGATATGTAGTGCCTAAAGTTTTTATAGTTTGTGATTTTACGGGCTGATTTTTTCACGTTTAATATTGTGAATATATAACGCTGTCTTTTTTTATGTTTTGAAAGTATTTGATTCACTTGCTTAAATCGATTGAGTATTGTTTTTCTCTCTTCCAGCACTAAAATGTGATCATCCCGTGGTAAAGGTGGAATTTTTTACTGAGGGGTTCATCATTAATTACTACATTCAACAACAATATACATTAAAAGAAGTGTGCTTTTTCGACGAAAGGGGTTGGAGTAAACCCCCTTCCGCTTCTCTAACCCTGCCTCTAGTCTCATTCAGTTCTTGAAAAGTAGGGAAATTATAAAATTACTTGTATTATATATGGGTGGGTGTGCTTTTGGTATGACAATATTTTTCAATTTTTTCATTTTGGTTGGTTAACTATAGGAAAAAAACAAAACAAAACAAAAAAACTATAGGAAAATAAGTTTTTTTTATAAATGAGAAATATGACTTTCCTAATGGACGTACATATGAAAAATAATAGTTTCATGACATTTCAAGTTTACCAACCCCCACTCCTATTTAATGACCTCTTCTGATCTTCATTGTTATTGCAGTTGCAGTATTGAAGCTAAAGTGACAAAAAAATGGAAGTAGCAGTGGTAGGGGCAGGGATAAGTGGACTAGTTGCTGCATATGAATTGGCAAAATCAGGGGTCAAAGTTGTAATTTATGAGAAGGAAAATTATCTCAGAGGCCATGCTAAGACTGTCACCGTTGACGGCGTCGATCTTGACGTTGGTTTTATAGTATTCAATCGGGTATGTTATAAGTATTTTTTTAGCTTAATTATGCGTTTGGTAAAAATGCTCTAGTTATGATACTTGATGTAATAAGATATTTGTTTAAAGGGCGGATTCAAAATTTCAACTGTCCAGACACTTTTCATGTTAAAGTCCAAAAGTTATTATGCCTTGGCAGTTAAGCCTGAGCTTTAAAGTTCTTACGCATATTGTTGGGTCATAAAAGAAACCTAAAAAAGTACTATATGATCAATGTTAAACTCAGTTATGATAGTTATTATTTCAGAAAGTCACCTTTCTTCTTTGATTCCAATTTTCTAAAACAAAGAAAGTGACTTTCCGAGATAATAATTATAAGGTTAGTGATTTGAAATCATCTTCAGTTTTGATCTATTCTTAGTAGTGAACTAGATAGTGGCAAACCATCATTTTGAGTTTCTATGGAATGAAACGTTTGTAGCTAGAGTTGTTTTTACCCCATCTTTTGGATGCTGTATTTGACAGGTAACTTATCCAAACCTGATGGAATTTTTTGAGCTCCTTGGAGTTGATGTGGAGATCTCTGATATGTCTTTCTCAGTGAGCTTAGACCAAGGCCGTGGTTGTGAATGGGGTACTCGAAATTCTCTAGTTTGTTTGCACAGAAGAAGAATGTCTTCAATCTGTATTTTTGGCAAATGATGAGAGAAATTAGCAAATTCAAGCAGGACGTCACAAGGTACCAATAACTTATTTATCTTTATATATGTGACTTCATACCAGTTATCAATTACATTTCATGTGATCTATTATTGTTTGAGCAATTTGTTGATTTACTGATCTCATTAGAAATTTAGAGCGCAGAGTCTTTATTGTTCATTTGAAGATGGTGTATATGATGATGGAAATTTACCAAATTGTTCTATTTTGTGCATTTTCTTTGTTTTATGTGTCAATAAAAGAGCTATCTCCAATGAAGTTTGTTTCATCACGAATATGTTTCTCACTGCATTGCAGTTACCTTGAAACATTGGAAAACAATCCTGACATTGATCACAATGAAACGTTGGGACATTTTATTCAATCACATGGCTATTCGGAGTTATTTCAGAAAGCTTATCTGGTGAGACTGCTCTTCTGTCATAGTTCTTGATTTTACCACGTGTATAGGCAATTTTGTTCATTCAAAATATTAATCTTGCAACAAGCAATTCACACATATGTTTCACAGGTTCCAATATGCACTTTGATTTGGTCCTGCCCCTCGGAAGGTAGAATTCTCATACATACTATTCAATGAGCATATTTCATGCATGACTTATAGCCAATCACTAAATATGGTTCGTAGAAGATACTGAATCTGAATACTTCTCTATATCATTTTGTTGTCCTTGTAATAAAGAGTGCTTCCGTATTTTCTTTACAGATATCTGGTCGCCCTCAATGGCTCACTGTTAGATGGCGATCACATGCGTATGTAAACAAGGTGGTACTTTTATTCTATAAGTACCTCAAAGTTGTTACTAATTTCAGAGAAGAAATCTTCAAGGAAGTACAAATTTTCGTTTTCTTGAATGATTTGTTAAGCTTCTATCATCATTCTGGTTATTTGACTCGTAAAAAAACCAGGTTAAGGAGGAGTTGCAGAAGAGAGGGTGCCATATAAGAATGGGTTGTGAAGTCAATTCTGTAACAACGAATGAAGAAGGTCCGGTTTGGTTTTAGCATTTAAAATCCCTCTATTTTCTCCATGTCTGCTAATGCATTTATGTGAAAGTTTCCTGTCCTTGTTTCCATAAAGTTCATTTGGTGTACCTAAGAAAAGTCTTCCCATAGTTAGAAACTAGTCGTGATTCTAACTGTAAAAGAGAGAGCGAGTGCAGGTTGTACTGTAGCTTGCACTGATGGTTCCAAAGAAGTATACAACGGATGCATAATGGCTGCACATGCACCTGACACACTGAGAATGTTAGGAAAAGAGGCAACATATGATGAAACAAGAATATTGGGTGCTTT